ACTCAGTGTACGAACTTAAGAAACAAAAGTGTTGGAAGGAATTAAGAAGAAACTCGAAGTTCCTGAAGGAACCTGAAGTTCCTGAAGGAACTTGACGGATGACTCAGAAAGTTTTAAACGAAAGTTTTAAAACGGTTTTCAAAAACCCTTAATTTAAGGAAGTGATAAAAATCAGTTTTGAAAAAGATTTAAAAAGATTTTATAAATAAATAAATAATTCATTAATTTAAAAAGATAACTTTTAAATTAATTAATTATTTATGTTTTAATTAATAAATAAATAATTATCTTTTTTTAATAAATAATAATTATCTTTTGAATAAGTCTTTAACTGATTTTTAACTTGGTAAATATTGGCTGCTTAAATTAAGGAGCACGTTGAATTTAGGAGTCAAGCTAGGGAAATCATGTTCCTAAATTTCCTCTGCCTACATCCAAACTTCTCAGTCAAAGAGAACGTGGGATTAAGGGGGAAGTGGGAACTTGATGGAAGCTTGGTTTAACTCCTTATAAAAACAGATCAACGTTAAGTTTTGAAAGCGTGGAAAAACAATCTTAAGTATTCTGAGCATAGAGTTTCAAAGTGTTTAAAAGAGAAGTTCCTTCCATCCTTAGTCTCTTAAGTTCTTTAGGTTATACTTGTAATCATTGTGTAATTGGGTTTGGGTTGTGAGAGTTGTAAAGTGTGAGACTTGAGAGAGTTGTTTACACTGTACAAGTGATTCGGAGTAGAATCACAAAGTGTGAGAAACTGTGATTGAGGGATCACAGTTGGGTAACTTGAGTTCCTCACGGAAATTGAGTCTAGGCAACGTATTAGTGATTGTAAATCATTTTTACATAGTGAATTTATTCATTGCCTATCTCAGTGTCTTTTCTCTTAGTAGTAGATTTAATTCCGCAAAATTTACCATAGTTTACATACACTACAATTCACCCCTCTCTTGTAGTATACATTGTTCTATCAATTGGTAAGAGCAAGGAACTCGGAAAAGCAGGAAGCCCTGTCGAGTCAAGTTCCTGGAGGAACAATGTCGAAGGACGAGAGACTAGCTGAAGGTTATTCTACACAAAGACCTCCACTCTTCAATGGGAAGTACTACGCCTATTGGAAGACGAGGATGGAGATGATCATACAGTCCGAGAATTATCAAGTCTGGCGAGCTATCGAGGTAGGAGATTACGAGGTAACAAAGACCAATGCAGAAAACGAGGTAATTCCTAAACCTATTTCTGAATACGATAGAAGCGACTTTGAGAAGAAAGAGATGAATGCTACTGCTAAAAAACTCCTAGTTTGGGGTTTAGGGCCAGATGAACACACTCGTGTTATGGGATGTAAAACAGCAAAAGAAATATGGGATTTACTAGAAATAACCCACAAAGGAACTCATGAAGTTAAACGTTCTAAAATTGATATACTGCTTTCTAAATATGAACGTTTTGAAATGGGTTCAAAAGAAACTATTCAAGAAATGTTTACTCGTTTTAAAAATATTACTAATGAATTTGTCATTATAATATAAAGTGTATAATCATTAATTGTGATCTTCTACCACCTTTTGACTTGAGAATATTATATAACTAATATATTAATTAACGTCAATAGAAACTCTAACCGTTGATTAAGGTGATTATGAATTTGTGATATATATTACTAATTTGTAATTGTGGGTCTGTGATCTACATTTGCCTTATATAATTGGTAAAATTAGATCACAACCTTTACTTGAACTTAACTACTATTATTAGCTTTATGCACAATTAATAATCTTCACAGTTCCTTTCAATAATGACTTAATTCATGTTTTGTCGGTAAATTTTTATAATAGATAGTCAAAATGTGACATTTAATTCATTACTAAATGTATAATAATACATTCCACGTAATAAACTTATGACAGGCATTAATAACTCGTTTTATAAACATTTATCTATTTTATTTAGGGTAAGTTTAGTTCACCTTAGTTTTACTTATTTCAAACCAGATTAGATAAAATAAGTTCATATCATATCAGAATAAATAAATTATGACATACTTTATCGTTTTATGTGGGATTTTTTTATCGCCAAATATCTTTAATTTCATAATAAAAAAATTATGAAAATTACATATTGATAAAATACACGGTATTACGAATCTAATAAACCTTAACTTGATACTCTATATATTTTTTCTTTATATATTATCGTACACATAAGGTCAATGTTTGGTCAAATCAGATCAGATTAGATTATATTAGATCAGATAAGCAAAAATAAGGTGAACTTAGTGTTGTTTTCCAAAAAAAAATAAAAATAGCTAATCAACAATTATATCAGACCAGATCTTGCTATAATCTCATCCTTTTTGAGTTCACGTCTCATTCTATGTCATAGTACTTCCATATCTCTGGTATTGAAAATGAGAGAAAAGATTCATCTTTATTATAAATAGGGCAGCTAGCGCGCATCATAGCTAGTCATATTTGAAAATCTCTTACAGTTTGGTCTTATGTTACAAATTCAGTTGTTAGTGGACTTAATGAGAGAAAATATATAAATAAATACTCCCTCCATTTCGTAATAATTGTAACACTTTGATTCACGCATCATATTATTCATAGGCTTACTTTGACAAAAAAATTTATCAATAAAAAAAAACATATATTACCATGTAAAATATTTTTGGATTAATCTTTATGTATATTGTCATTATATCGAGATTTAATACTTCTTAATAATATATAATTACAATTATTAATGGTCAAAGTGTTGCGATTATTATGAAACGGAGGAAGTATATATTTTTAGAGATATATATGTCCGCGTATTAAGAGTGAATAAATATTTAAGAGGGTATAATTGTCAAAGCACTATTCATAAGAGTTATTTCAAACTTTTTAAAGGTAGGGAAAGATACTCCAATTGATTTATTTATTACAATTAAACCGAGGTGATTTACAAAACTAGGTTCACTTTTAAACTTTTTTACACTTTTGCGTCGAAATAAAACTTAATCACCGAAGTACTGGCCATATAGGATCAAATTCAATTATATATTTTAAAAATCAATAAATAAAATAAAATAAAAATTTGCAGAGCAAAACCGCTATAGCGGTTTCACCTCTCAAAATAGCGGATATATCTAGTAAACTGACTAAAATTAGTATAAGGTAAAATTGCTACTTGAGGGCTTGTTTGACATCTTTTTTTTGGTTTTAGTTTTCTGTTAAAAACAAGAAAAACCAAAATCATGAAACAAAAAAAAAGGTGTTTCCACTTTCTAGTTGTCAGTTTTTAAAATTATCAAGATTTTAATAAATTTAACTAATTTTTGATTCATTATATGACATATATCAAATGATTTTGAAAACAAAAAACTAAAAAACAAAAAACCACTACTAAGGCTTAATGAATGAAGACTAATATATTTCTATCAGATACAAGGTTTGACGATGAATATTGCCTAGTAACTTGTCCGTCCAAAAATATTACTTCCTCTGTTCCAATAATAATGCAACAAGGATGAAATTACATATCCAAAGCACACTTTACATGTTAAATATCTATAATTCTATAAGAGTAAAAATTATAAAAGATTGATATTGTGTAAATATTTTACGAGACGAATCTAACAAGATCTCACATGAATATATTTTACTTAATGTATAAATCATAATATGTAGTCAAACAAACATGATATATGGAGCAAAAGTCCAATTGTTCCAATATTACTATAACGGAGGAAGTATACCTGTAAGAATGAAAATTGAATAGTTGCATTTTTTAGTATGAATAGTTGCAATTTTATAAATGTCGTCTCATCATTTAAGAAAAACAAAATTTTCTACCATTAGACAATGATAACTTGTTTTCCACCAAGTTGTGTAAATTAGGGTTTAAAATAAGTAATATCAAGTTGGGTTCATGTCAAAGCTTAACAAATACTTTATCTGTTTTATAATGTTAGTCCCATTTGCATAAATAGATGTAAATTTATAATTGTAAATATCTTTAATCTCTCACTGGCAAAAATTATTAAAATTAAAAATTAATAATGTATTTTTCGAGACAAATAAAACTAGATCTCATAAGACTTATATAGAGAGAAATTTAGAAAATTTCCTTTACTTTTTAATAATCAAAAGATTCTAAATCGAGTTGAGAATTGTTTGACGCCAATTCTTTCCTTGATGCCTTGACACTATTTCAATCAATTTGTTCATTATAGATTTATAGTACACCACTTTAGAAAAACAGTAATATGAAGGTTTTTTAGATAGAGGTGTTGTTTGGTTGACATGGAAAATGAGTTCCCATAGGATATTATACTTCATAGGAAATCATTTTCCTTGTCCATTTCCTAGGAATTACCTTAAGTTTTGTTTGGTTAATAATGTAGGAACTTAGATTTCCTAGCAATTTATTTCCTATGTTTTATTAGTAAATTTGAGAATTTTTTATTTAAGGCAACAAAGTTAGAGAGAGAAAGAAAGAGATTAAATTTTTAGTGATAATAATGCAAGGAGACCTCACAGTAATTATGGGAATTGTAACTTATCAAGGAAGGGCTTGGTAAGTGAATTCCCGTGTTTTATGGGAATTGAAACTTCCCTTGAAATTTCCATTTTCCCCACTTTGATAAAACTTCCATTGAAATTTTCATTTCCCCCACTTTGATAAATTTGTGTCAACCAAACAACACATGTTATAACCATTTCCTAGGAAATACAACGCTTTTTACCTTCAACCAAACAACACTAGAGAATAGGAGTACAATAATAAAATAGCAATATTAAACAATTCGATCACATTGCATCATAAGAAAACAATTAAGTAAACAAGAGTAATCCCTATTGAGACCTAACATTTAATTACTCCGTACTAATTTACTATCAACATTTACAATTAAGATGACCAAGAAAACATTAACAAAACCACAAATTACAAATAGCAAAAATCCCAACATTCATTCATAATTTTTTTTTAAAAAAACACTAACTAATTTCAGTAATAATCTACAGAAAGATGAAGCACTCCAATGAAACAAGTGGATTTTCAAGCGACTCCTTTGGACCTTGCCACTCTTCACTCTCTCTCCTCAACCCAATCTCTTCATTCTCATCCACCTCCTCCTCTACCTTCCTTCCATTTTCCGGGCCATGGACCATCCTAACCCGGCCCGGAGACGGCCCAGTCCTCCTGGAAGACGGGCTTCGGCCCACATTAGCCCGTATTCCAGGGGACTGAGACCTACGGCCCGAATTATCCCCGGAAAAATCCCTTTTAGGCACACCACCACCCGGGCTGGGATTCCTCTTTCGAGGCGGGGATGGTTCGGGCCGTCGTCTCGCTGGCGATCTCCCTTGATTCCTATAATGCTGACCACCACCACCACCATTGTTAACATTATTAAACCCCTGAGATCTGTACACCCTTTGACGAAGCTCGTTACCACCACCTCCACTAGTAACAACACTCTCTCTTCCGAACAACAATTGGTTAAGATGATTATCATCTTCTCTGGTAGTAGATATACTCTCACTAAAGCTACACATTTCCGACGCTTCGGAGATCTCTTCTGGAGTACACGGATCCGGGTACGCCTTCTTCGGAGGAGTAAATGAAAGCGACTTTGCTTTCACGGACTCTTCTTCTTGACCATGTTCCGCAACGACCTTTCTCGGGCTTTCGGGCCTGGACCTGGGCTTGGGCCTTGGTTTTGGGGTTTCGGAGAGGACTTCCTTGACGGCCTCCTCCTCGGCTATTGGTGGGGATTTGGAGACGCAAGGGAAATCATCGGAATTGTTTGGTTTTAGTGAGGAATGTTTTAAACGATTTTGTTTGTCATGGGTACTAACACAACAACCCATTTTCGACGATGAATAAGAAATTCAATGTATATTAATGAGGAAAATAGAAGAAATTTTTTTAATGGGTTTTCATTGTTTGTTGGTAGTAGAATTTGTGAAGGTTGGATTTAGAGTGGAGAGTGTAAAAATGGAGGAAGAGGAGACAGAAAATGCGGTGTGAAGAAGGGAGGAGAAGAGGTGAATGTAAGAAAGGAGTTAATTTAAGGGAGAAGTCAGACAGTCAAGGAAGCAAAGGGTGTGTTTAGACTTTTAAGAAAGTGTGAGAGAGTGGCTATCTATCTATCAATATTCAAGGCCCACATTGCCTTCCACCAAGTTACCCACATGTTAAACTGTAACAACCCCTATTGTAGATTTGTAGTGCGAGTAGTTTATTTAAATATGTGTGTGTGGTTGAATTGGAAGCTTGACAAGCTTAGCTTGAGCTACTCCAGCTCCGTCTCGGCTCACTCGATTATCACCCTTAATGTGAATAATGATAATTGTTATAGTAGACTTATACTTTTCAAAGATACCAAATTTACCTTAATACGTGTACTGATCTAAATCTGATATTTGTAAAGCGTTGAACATGCACAATTACTATACAATGACTTTGGTACCAACTTTAAACGGCTACTAGTTGTTCTCAAACATATAAGGTAGAATTCACATTTACTTCACTTGAATTTCATGTACTAAACTTTATTTTACCTTAACTTTTTTTTTATCCCGGACCTTAATATTACCCCATAGACCATAGATTTTATTGAAATGTATTACGGAGTTGCTATTTTGATACAATTTTAAATTTTATGTTATGATGTACTTGTATATGTATATACTTTATATGATAGACTTGCTGGCTTGCTACAATTACTAGTTACTCTTTGTGTATTAAAAAAAAAAATATTCGGTCAAATGCGCAAAACATATCTGAATCTTGATTGAGTTGATTCCACCTTAAACAGATACAAAATGGATAGATACAAGAAAAACAAATATTTAATGTGATAATAACATAGATTCTTGGATTCAAATAGTCAGAAAACAGACCATAAGACTCAACTCAGTATTGCTGAACTATGATTTTGTTTTGTAAGAGTATTATAACTAAATTTCTGATGGATCTGAAATTCAGTTTCCTTATCATAAAAATTTAGGAGAATATTATTAAGAATAGTGAATGAACATCCCCATGTTCTTCCGAATCTATTATCTATGAAACTGACGCATCTTATGTAATGCTAATGTTTTCATGCATGTGGACCCATTAAATTTAATTATATGTAGGAGAGTAACTAATAATAACTGACAAAGTTTATGTAATTTTGATTCTCCAATTTTAGAGCTAAGGGTTGTACAAGTTATGAAGCTAGAAAATGACTCCTCTTAAAGATGTGGACTAAGTAAATTTGATCCGTAATCTTGGACAAAATGTGTGACGTTTTTTGAGTACTTCTTTTATCACCTTATACACACAAACAAGGTGCACACATACACTACTAAGTCACTAATTAACAAAGTGTTAGTTGGCTCACTTAATAAGGTTCTTATCTTTGCTTTTAGAGGTTTAAGATACGAACACTACTAAGTGAGGTCGTGAGGGTACTTGGGGGTAGAGATTCTCTTATCCTCCCCAGTCCCACCAAGTGCTTAACCTGTAAATATTGGACTAAAAAAATTGTGAGGATTAAGGTCTGGTTAGGATCCTCCTTACCAATAAAAAAAAAGGTGTACACCATATAAAGAATGAGGAGTTATTCATAATTTCATACAACGATACAAGCATCTATACTAATATATTAAAAGGCGTTCCTAAAAACGTCTATACGCCACGTAGAGTCCTCATTTCGCCACGTCACTTACTCAATTTCTTATTATGCCACGTCATCCGATCAACACCTTAACGTGCCACGTCATCCACACAACCAACAATACTCCATGTTGTCTCAATTATATTGGAAAAAAAATATGTGGATGAGAAGGTTTGAACACTTGACCTTTTAAAAAAAAAGCTATTGTTTAACCATTTAGGCTAATTATCAATTTTGCTTTAACTTTGCACAATAAATAATATCATACTACTAAGTATTGAAGACACATACTACATACAAACTATTAGATAATACTCTTAAAAATTAACAGTTACACAACTATAAAAGTAGTACCCCGGGACAACGTCCAGGCTAATCACAAGTTATACATTTATACTGAGATGGCATGAGACAATCAAATAAAAACTCAACTATGAAGCATTAGTTAACACGTATGATATATTGATATTATATAGTTCAAAGTCAAAATTAAAGATAGTACCATAAAGTAATTACTTCGTATTAATTTAGTGCTTTAACTCAATACATACATAACGTGAGAGTTTTTGCTCGGTTTATTGTTCTAAAAAACCACGTCTAAAGTGGGTAGTTTTTGAAATATACAACCTAGTTGACCTAGCATTCCCAGTGCATTATTCAAGCTTGCGATAGATATGATTTCATTCACACAAAATCATAAATGAGGTCTGAATTGTATGCGTGGATGCGCGCCAATGGACAAGGAAAGGGCGCCATTACTCACGCTCTCCTTGCTTCATTTCCTCACCTAGTCATCACCTACTTCAAAAGCTCAGGTAAATTATAAATGAACTATTTAAAACGAATAGACGTCCTTTGAAAAAATTACTTTCACTGTTCCTTTTTATTTGCCTTAATTTTCTTCCAGCATATCTCAATTTACTTGCCTTATTTTCTTTTAAGTTGGGATTCATATTCACCTACGTACTGTTTCTTCTCTATTCTTTTTGTTGCATAAAATCTTATACAAATAATTACAAGGCAAGATAAATAGGAATAAAGAGAGTAATCCGATATGTTAATAGGCAAAAATAATATCGGAAAAAAAAAATTCATAAATTCCAACCGATAGTTAACAGTTAATTATGTAAACTATCCAACCAGATATATACCTCTTGCACTAAATAATAATCACACTTCCAACAAAAGAGAGTCAACAAAACATGATCTAATGAGTAATGACACAGTACAGAGCGAAGGCTTGTGTCTGAAGACTAGTCAAACAATAATAGTAATAACAGAAAATGATCCTTCTTAACTCTGATCAACCAACCCACTTTAATGGCTAATCGATCATGATGTCCTTTTCATTCTTCATGCCTTCATGAGTTCATATGGACCATCATATGGTCCTATATTATATATATCATATTCTGTACAGCCTCACAACACAACTCGTTATCAGCATACACTTTGCATCCATGTTCAGACTATAATAATCAATACACTTTTCGTCGCATAAAGTTAGCTTAGCGTTGAAAATATTAATTTTTTTTCTTTGTTTAACAAAAATAATGACTTATTACATAATCATTTATAATATGTACGATTGCTAAATTCAGTAATTTAGATCAACTGAATCATCACACGAACCATTGTTTGTACGTTATATGTCAATGTAATACTATTACGGAGTATGAAATATGTCTAACACCTACTAATGATTTACCTATGTTTTTCCTAAATAAAAAGAGGGCGCCCTCATTACTCATTGTGAGAAACGTTTTTGTTTCTCACAGTGGCAGTTTAATAAATAAAATGTACTACTTTAGTCACGGTGGTACATTTTATTTACGAAATGGATGATAAAATTGTACCATTTTAGACACGACGGTACATTTTATTCACGAAACTACCACTGTGAGAAACAAAACAGTGCGTAACAGAGATTTACTGAAATAAAAAAGGCACACAAGATTACAACTAATACAACAACATGAATTTGCTATACGCAAACATTGTAGAATTATTATATGATGAGTAAAGTTACAACATGTGATGTCGATAAATATGTTAATGCAAGGAGTATATTGTTGGAAAATCCAGACCTACTACATGTGAGGAAGCATAGAGAATTAGAGATGCTTTACTTGGTCCAATCATATAATCCTACATTCCTACTATTTATCATAGTATTTTATATCAAAACTAATAATTTTAGTGGATAGCAACAATACCATAGATAGCCGATGCTAGTAATAATAGAGGTAATATAATTCTGTTTGACACTGCTTTGACAAACAATAAGAAATAGAGTCTACTAGTGACACTTAGTTTTCCGTTACTAGTCAATACTATATCCCTTAGAGGGAATATAAACGAGTGAATGAGATTTTTTTTTTTTTACAAAGATAAATTGCATCATTATGAACATTAACACGAGACTTACAAGTAATTAAAGGTCCTTTTGAGTAATAGCGAATTAATGTTTTTTTTTTTTTTTTTGGTAAGGAGAAGGGTCCTATTGGGCCGAAAGCTCTCACAGGTCCTCCTGACCTGGGTTAGCGAGCTAAGCACTTTGGAAGTGAGTGGGGGGGGGGAGGAAGAGTAAGAGAATCCCCACCCCAAAGTGCCTTTAGTGAGGATTGAACCCCCAACCTCAAGGTTGGAAGGTACAACCCTTTCTACTAGACCAAGCTTAACTTGGTAATAGCGAATTAATGTTGGAAGAGGTATCTATATGTGAATCGCTAAACATCGCCCGCAAATCTCCACATAAAGCCCACAAATTTGTATTGAAGTGACCTTATTGCCCTTTTCGTTTTTTAAAAAAACCACTCACTACATCTCTCTAAAAAAATCAGAAGATCTACCTCTGTCGAGGCGACAAGGGAAAGAGATGGTGGCGGCGGAGGAAAGGCGGCGACTTGGTGGCAAGCTAATTATTTAAATTATTTTTTTTTTTTTAAAAAGCGGCGAAGGTGGGGCGCCTGGCCAGGACGCCCACCCACTGGCGGTGGCGCCAGCTCCGGCAGCCAGTGCCGGTGGCGTGGCGTGTGGCTTGGAAGCCCAGCCAACGGTAGAGGCGTCCAAACCAGGCGCCTGCCCACTGGCTATGGCTGTCGGATCTGGCGCCACCGCCAGTGGGTGGGCGTCCTGGCCAGGCGCTCCACCTGCCTTATATATATTTTTTTTTTTGGAAATCAGAAAATTTGTGTTACTTTT